TGAATAAAGGATTTCATATACAGATTAATTGGAGCAACGTTTCCGATAATATTCAGCCACACCCAAACTATAAATTAGTTGATTGTAGCTTATAGGAACTGGAAATTCAGAGAAATGCATTGTCCTTAAGTTTATCTTTGCCGTGTATCATAATATATCCTTAAAATGTGACACAATCACCGTAAAACTCATTTTTAATTAAATTAATTGTCAAATTTTCATCACTGGATCGATCAAAGTTTATTCTTTCTCTAATAGTAACCTTATGATCTGTCAGGGAATCTGTTTGCATGATAACGATATCAATGCACTAAGTTTTATTAAAATCCTCTCAGTGGAGTGTGTGAAGAATGAATTAAGAAATGGATTCGCAAATACATTCATGACTGGTATTTTTTTTGACACTACTTGACGACTAGCTGATTTGTCAGTAGTCCCCATTATTTACAAGCAATTTATTAACAAATACCCCCAAACATTACCGTAAGCAAGCATAACGGTCCTAATGTACACTTAGACAAACTATATATCTGTTAAAGTTTCAATAAAAGTTTCAAAACAGATGGTTAAGAAAGTACAACATATTGACAATTTAAGGATAATTAGTATCCCCATAAATGGACCATATAAAAAGTGTAACCGGTGTTACAATGGGCGCCCGCACATAGGCTATCCGTATATTTAACCTCTAAACAAGTTTTGACCTTCATTCGTAAAACTTAATTGCTGAGCACTACATATCTTCTCCCTCCCCGAAAATACTTATGCGAGATCCTATGTTTGTTAAATATTATCTCCAACCATAAGCCTAAACTTCACGCTTTAATAAAACTTCCCGAGCAGTGTATGAGCTTAAGAAACGAAAAATTCATTTCCAAAAGACCCCTTTTTGAAAATTTTTAAAAACATTTCCCACAATGATGCCCAGAGGAAAACCCTCGAATTAATTCCATGTTGACACTATTCATATATCTAACCAATAATTATTGTGGAAGGAAAAGCAATGACGATGCAAACTTAAAAACTAACCCCTTTTCTGCTGATAATGGTTAGAATATATTCCACATTATTGGGTCCGATGAAATAATATGAATACTTAAAGCGTATCTGAATCATCCATATATCTAGCATTCAAGGTCTCAATATAATGCTTTCAACAGCTGGATGTGACACGATGACAGGTTCAATTCATAAAATAAGCCATATCTGATCATTTAAATTACATCCCCAAACAAATCCGAGAAAACGATTCAACCTTAATGAACATATACATCATTCACGTATCCTACTACCATTTTCAAAGTGACACGATGACGATTTTACATCGCAAAACAGACCGTTTTTAAAACTGATGCAAGTAATTTCCTCACAAAAAGTCACAGGTAAAACAAGTGTACGCTGATTATACACTTACACTAATCCTAAATATAGCCTAAACATCTTTCAAGCAGTGACGGTGGGTAATGAGCGACGACATCTATACTCCATGAAACACGTATCTAGTCTAAAGAGTTTCAATACAATTCAGGTTCATTATAATTCTCAAAGCATTGTGAGATGAGAAGCAATAATTAGCCTTTTTCCAAACAAAATGCTATCTCTGGCAGTTGTTCAGCAAATGTCCAGACAAATTGACATGTGAAAATTAGGAAAATTGACGACTTTTGTATTTGTTCATAACGAAAGTCAATTACTGAGTATCGACAACAAACCACACTTTTAACATCAAAGGTTTCAACTAATTGCTCTAAAGTTTGTGGGACAAGATGATATAACTTTATCTAATATGCCACATTTGGCAAAGTAAATATAAATAAATGTCCCGAAAGTGGAGGAAAGCAAAGAAGGAAAAATCTTTTTACGTATCTGAAGAAAACACACTTCTGACCGTACACGTTTTGATACAGTTTTCCATGCACTGTCTGAGGGGAGGGAGACGAGGGAAATGAAAAACGAAGACTATCTGTTATATATATTTAAGTTGTAATTTTTTTGTTTGGTATTTTCTCCGTGATAGTATTTTTAAAAAATCTGTATCGATTTTTAGTTATCCTCCGTCCAACATCAAGCAAATGTTCAACCGTCTAGAGGAATTGATTGCGTAGACAATATAAATCTAATATGTATCTGTGATTATAGATTAAATATTCAGATCATTATTGTTCTAAGCAAGCATTTGTATTTGAATAAAAGATTATGACAACAATTTTTCAGCTTTGAATGTTTTAGATAGGATATTAAACTAGATTCTGGCTTTATTAGAGTATCGTAGCTTTTCACGTCAGTATTGTTGATTTGATAAAACAATACTCATTTCTACTTTAATATTCGATGTGGAATAACCCTCATTGTTGTGTTCAGTTTTTAATTTTTGTGTAATTGTTTATCTAAATTATTAACTGGAATTACAAACTGCTTATTTATACTTCATGGACAAAAATCATTAATTTGGAATTATAGTGAATTTATTCAAAGACATTTTGGATAAATATTGTGACACATCAAATGACTTTTAAGACATGGCCACATTCCAGGAAACTGGCACATTGTCACATTAGAGACTGCAAGCACATCTACACATTCACTAATGAAATTTATTTGGAACACCACTGATATTCAATTGAAACGTTATAATAACTGTAAGTGTTTTGAAAAAGATTTACTCTGTATTCTAGGGAAAATTATTATTTGTTGGAGTTTAGAAAATTTGTTGGCTTTCGCTCCTTTGTCTGACACTTAGTTTAAGACAATGGAGTCGTAAAAGATTTGAGGTGTCACAATACCATTATATTTGGCAAAATTTTAAAATACCCTCTGAAAAATGAGTCAGCAATGAAACCTAAACCTATATTGCGCAGCCCTACAAACAACCTATCAAGCCTACGGTTTCATTGATACCTTAGAGATAGTGTAGGAGAAAAGCAAGGACGAACTGATTTCTCAGGAAAACCCCATTACTTGACAATATTTAAGAAATTTCACCAACATATGGCAGAAGCAAAATTAAAACTATTTTGCGGATTTACCCTAACCACCAATCCGACCCACAAAATATCCCTACATTCATCTTAGTCATGTGGGGGAGCAAAGAAAACTCAATTCATAAAATGCACTACTTCGAAAAAATTTCAAAATATAGCAATCATAGTTGAATTAGAGAAAAATCTAAAAAAAATTTACGCATCCACACTATTCATTTTGCTAGCCTGCAATATTTCAATATAATCTTCTATTTAGTTTGTGAAAATAATCGAAGGAGAATGGAATTGGGAAAACAAACTCCGTGTTTACAATTTTGCAAACAAATATATCTAGAATTGGCCTAAGACAAAAATTATTATTACTTTACAATATTAATACAATCCCTACACCGAGCTGTCTCAATGAATTGCTACCTCCCCGTGTATCAGAACAAACAGATTATAATCTTCGACGTTCAAATAACATTGTCATTTGCAATTTCAGGCAATTATCTAAGAAATCATCTTTAAGAATCTTACGATTAGCCCTGTGGAATAATCTTAACGTATCATCATTGAAACTCCATCTATCACCGTCATTGAAACTCCATGTATCACCATCATTGAAACTCCATGTATCACCATCATTGAAACTCCATTTATCACCAACATTGATACTCCATTTATCACCATCATTGATACTCCATGTATCACCACCATTGATACTCCATGTAACACCATCATTGAAACTCCATTTATCATCATCATTGAAACTCAGTGTATCATCATCATTGATACTCAATGTATCATAATCATTATTACTTTATGTAATTATTATTATTGATACTCATGCATCATATATTACAAAAGTGTTATATAAAGTGTTTAAGTCCAAATATAATGTCTAGTAAAATCCATATCTTTATACATCAAACCTTAAAAATTGGTCATGCTAAATAAAGATAAGACATAATGCAAGTCCTTTAAACACAGATCTTTACCGTGTTCAACTTGTTGACACCCTTTTTGTTCATGCGGCGGAATTGAAACCATCATGCTTTTCTTCATGTTATGTCCCAAGTATAGTAGAAAACGATCTGAAATGATGAGAAAATTACTCTCAATGCCATACGCAACTGTTAGATTAGATTTAATGCTTTGGGGAAAAGGGCGATGCAAATGGAAAATATAGAATACAACTATATATATAGTTACTACTGCTACTGCTGTCCTCTCTCTCCAATCATTTTTTTCATTACTAGTCGTTGTTATCATGTTGGGATGTTGTAACACTTTATATTTGTAAGGAGAATAACTGGTTTCTTTTCCGAATATTTGCCGATCCCACTATATCTTATTGCGACAAATATACGTTAAAACAAAACTGCTTCTTTGCAACTGTATAAAGACATGCGCTTACAAACTGGTCGTATAAAGAGGTACAGTTAGCAAAAATTAGTCTAGCAGTCTGAAAGAGAAATCGATTATAAACTCCAATTGCCCCAACCTTTTCTCATGTATAACCAAGAGAAGGGCCATATACTTCAAGGGTCAATTTCGGAACATAATCCGATCTAGATGACACGAAAAGAGATACAATATGTCCTCACAATTCCTAAATACGAATTTGATCTATTTCAGGACCGCTTTAAATAAAGAAAAGTAAATGTCATATTGCGTATGGTGTACTAAACCCGTTGTGGTAGCTGTATTCGTGGATTATAGATATGTTGCAAAGAAGCTGATTTCATATATATTTCCGAATCACATTTGTCTTATATCATGCATTTGCACTAATTATGTGTGTGTGAGTGTGATTTTGATTTTTATAGTAGTGTTAACAATTTTTCAGTCATATCGCTGCGATGTCTGCAGTGTGGCAGTTTACAGTGATGTCTAGCACTGGGGCATCATGCCGCAGAAAAGTAGTATGATGTTCCACCCAGTCACATTATCCTGAAATCAGGCTGACCAGTCCTAACACTTACCTCTTAATACTGAATGCCAAGCGAGGCAGCTGTCAGTACCATTTTTGTAAGTATTTGATATAACTCGGCCGAGGATTGAACCTACGACATCCCGCATCTGAGGCGGATACTCTAACCACTAGGCCATTAAATGTATATGTTCTTTACGAGAGAGAGAGAGAGAGAGAGAGAGAGAGAGAGAGAGAGAGAGAGAGAGAGAGAGAGAGAGAGAGAGAGAGAGAAAGAGAGAGAGAGAGATGCAAACTAAAATGCATGATAGGAACTTGTTCAACATACATATGCTTATTCTGTGTTAATATAGGAGAAAAGGCAGATTTTCGTGTTTTGTACCTTAATTGTGGGGCCCATGTGTCGATGAATATGATGCTTAAGCTAATAACACAGTTTGGCTCCCCTTCCACTTCATTAAAGAGGAGTACATAAGAGAAAACGTGTGAAATTTGCATTTATGTTATATGGATTTAAAGCAATGTATTTTGTAAAATTATTAAACGTTCTCAGATGTCCCAGTAGATTTTGAGGTCTTTGAAGATGCATAAATATGGTGATATGTGCTGACAAGCATAACCTATGCCGGTTTATCAAGAAACTAAATTAAATGTTTATTTCAGTGTTTTACTATACCATATGCATGCATGTTGTTAATGTGATGACCAATTCAATTTTCAAAGACATTTTTGAGAATGTTTCCTGAAAAGCCATATTTTGTTCATCTACCCGAAAGACTTATCTAGCCTACAAAGCTTCAGTAAAATAATCTAGAGAGCGTGGGAGAAGAATCGACAACGATCTGAATTTATCAAATGCTTACTTTAGAAATTTTTATTTAAGGTATTCTCCCTAGATTTGTCCAGAGAATAAATGGATAAATTTATGTCAACATTCAAACTAATCACATATTTAACCTTAAAGTTTCAATAAACTCCTCCATTGAATAATCTTGGGACCAATAACGACAACTTCCTTTTATTTCACTAAACTTTGGAAATTTTACACTGAGGTACTTGAAATCTGCTTGTCCACGGCCTTGACATTTTTCATTTGACCAACATTGATGTACAAAGAACTAGACCTTCCAAGATTCAACAAGTAGATGATTCTGAACACTTTTTTCCTAGGCTCCACTGACTGTCAAAATGGCCAATCCTTCTTTATGTAATGGGAATATCTCGCACGACTGTTCCATTGACAGAGAAAACTAGCAAAATCCTTGAAACGGCCACAAAGCTGCCATCGATGTTATTCATAGTTTATGCACCTCAAACGTTGTTTCATCTTTTCATAGGTTCCCTTCATTTGGAATGAATGCACAACTGAAACTGACGGTGAAACATTACCATTATGCAGCGAAATAGATTTAAGACTCATCGTCGATGAATCAAAGAAGAGTCTCCACTCATATGGATCGTGAACGATGTTGAGGGCTGCTATCACACCATGGACGTTGTCGCAGACTACAAGATCACCTTTCATGAAGAAGAATGAGACAAGATCCTTTTGACGATCACAGAAAATGAAAATGCTAACATCACCTGCTAGCAGATTATAATGTTGTTGTCTTGAAACCAATAGCTCTGCCTTACTTTCGGATAGTTCCAAATCCCTTACAAGTTCATTCAGTTTATCTTGTGTTGTGAGGTGAGGTTCAGAAGGTGTAGGATGGTAGAAAATACAGATCATGTGACATGGATGGTTCAGGACTAGAAGTTTCATCCTCTTCCTCATCTGATTAATGTGATAATGATTGTGGTGTATTAGAAACCAGCAATTTTTCTCTGTTGGTTACTGCTTGTGTAGCTGAAGGAATGTTTGGATATTACACAGTCCACTTTTACTTCTTTAACACATCTTTACCTTTGGGGTCAGTATTCCAAAACACATTTTATTAACATGAAGTCGACTACACCTAAACATTTTCTCAGGAATTAATCTACCAAGGAAGGACCAAGGAATTCAGATCTATAAACATGGTATATTATTGAAATAATAATATACCGATAGTCATTTGCCCATTAGACGTTATAATTATTACTGAAAGTAAAGTATAGAAATGATAAATATATAATATATGCGCTATGCTTTATGAGTTATTTTGTTTACACTGAGGATATTATGGTTGCATCCTACAGGAATAAAATCTGATTCAGAGAAAACCTTCCGGATAGTGTAATCTGGAAATACAAGATGTTATTTGAGAAGAATAATGAGACTGTTGTAAAGTGTCCTATCTGAGATATTTGTATATATTCTCATTTAATATATGTCACCATCATTATGTTTCAACATAACATTAACCAATATTCTTCCCGCCAAGTGCAAAGTATTTTCATTATCCTTTATCTCTTGTTCAGAAACATCTATGTTTTTTACACTGTAAGTCAAATTAGTAGCATTAAACTCCTAAACACATAATAATTATTGTATTCATTACTACCTGCATGTGATAAAATTAATAGACGATAATTTATTGAGCGTGGTTGATTTTGTTCCATTGAATAAATGTGTATACGAATATGCCAATGGCCAACTTTGTCCCCGTCGGCTATCAGAATGACTATAACTAGGGCGTTTGGTACAAATACTTGAATTAAGTACATGACAGAATTATTCATTGTCTATTACGAATGATTGCTATAAGTAATGAAGAATGTGTACTGCAAAATAGTGACAGGTTATTTGTAAAATAAGGACATTAATCGTTCTTCGAATAGGCTTTCAAGACAGATACGGTTTTCAGTGCCTGCCTATTCAGAGAGCGAATGATAGCAATCAACGTCTGGCAGCGATAACGACATCAATTTTGAGATGTTACATCTTCAGGTCTAAGAAAATAATCGACGATGCACGAAACCGTTAATCGCTGGTGTGATGATTAACTATACGTTGATTGTTGTTGGTTTATGGGTATTTTTTCCTTATTTGTACGAGTTTTACACTCGACTGTGAGAATTCCATATGGAAGGGACACTATACGATGTATGCGTTATTTTTACAAGGGCGATATTATAAGTAGCGAAAACAGTCTGCTGCAAAATACTGCGAGTGCTCTGTATAATAATGACAAGAGTATTGTATATTAATGTCAAGTGTACTGTACAATAATGACAAGTGTAATGTACTATAATGACATGTGTACTGTACAATAATGACAGGTATATAGATTTCTATGACGTTGTTACATAATTAACAATTAACATGAATATATAACGATCGGTTTATAATGATCGGTAAGGTGATTTTAATTTGTTTCTGATTGTATGTTTTATACTTCTGAGTTCTTGAGGTTCGTATTACGTTGTTTGGTGTCAAATTCAATTTATAGTACCTTCAACTGTTTAAAACGCTGAAGAATTGTTAAGCTGTGGCGATCAGTAATCAAAGTGCGAGAGAAAATTATTAGTCTGAAAGATCTTACGATATCATTTTGAAATGCTGATGTTCTTCCTTTTGTATTGAGATCAAGGTGTACATAGGGTTATCGTATCGGAAACTTGGCTAGCGAAACGAAAACGTTTTCTTTGACACCATTAATGTAAACAAGAGTTTAGGTCATGCTATTTATTAAAGCTAAGCACACAAACAGAAAGGTGTGTGCATTTCTTCCCAAGTGTTGGAATCGTCGCCAACTTCATATCATATCCACACTGATGTCTGTTTTAGACAAATGGATTTAATTTGATATGTGCGTGTGTGTATGAATGTGTTTAAGTCAAGACTGAAATGTTCAAACATCTAAACCATCGCGTAACTCCGGCAACGGATATAGTAGGCCTTTTAAAATGAAATTGAGTTTTTATATCTACTCATAAATAATACTTAGATAACGTAATTTCAATATTCATAATGCATTAAAATATGAACAAATTTTTCACATGATTACTTTATCAAAATGCACTTAATACATAAATGTTAGCTTCAGAGATTGACAGTTCATTGCCTGAGTTCGTTCATTACAAATGTACTCCTTAATTAAATATGGAATAAACAGTTTGGTTTGATGTTTTATAGAATGAAAACGCGATCAGGATTTTTAATGCCAAGGCATAAGAAAAGTGTATAGCCTATGGAGACATCAAGATAACCGAACTCAGGCTAATGCGATGGCACAAATCAAGTCCACCCAATTTTGGTCGTTAGAACTGAACACTATCCACTGAGAAACCCTAGCCCCTAAATTACAGATTTGATTTTAGTTAAGTGAAAAGAAAACTCTTTATGTTGTGTCCATTTTTGAAACAAAAAGGAAGCAAACACTGTTTTAGTTTTGTCTGCCTATTCAGAGAGCGAATAACATCAAACGATTTTCGGCAACGACTGCTGCGACAGCGTTAAAAATTTTGTAATATTACTGGTGCAGGTTAAAGAAGATAATACACGATGCATGCGACCTCTCATCGCTAGATAGATAATTAGATACACAATGTTGATTATTTTTATGTTACTTCTTTGTAAGTAATTTATGCTTGGCTTTGTGATATTGCCATTTCGAATTTATGTATCACTGTTTATGCTTTTTTCCCGAGAAAGCATGCTTTGGTTTTGGGGGGTATATTATGTTTATATTTCAAACTAGATAACAGAGTGATAGCAACGAATCTTCAGATATGTATTAATTTTGCCATTCAGTTTTGTGTTGCGTGACCGTTGTATTCAAACATAAGAAGTATAAGTCGTTTCGTTTCAGAAGTTAAAAGTCAAGCACATAATTAATTATATGGACGATCCCCAATGCATTTAAATGTTTTATATTTTTAACGTTTTCTTGTAATGAAAAATATAATTTCACAGTCTACAAGGATTATAAAAAGCAACAGCGTTTATTTATTTTTAAACATAAGATTCCCATGTATTTATAATCTTTAAGTGATTCGATTGTATTCAAGTGTATTTCCTCCATGGAGTTTCAGGGATAGGGAGCTTTTACCTTCCGAAATAACATCACTTTCCAAGATGGATTAAACTTGATAATGTTACAAAATGTATGCCTAGTTGTATGGTACACAGATTTAACGCCAGTTGACTTATTTGAGCATGCGATAAATAATAATAAATTAAAGATGAGGGAAATAAGGTAAGATTATTTAGTCCGTGTAACGTTTGATAATTCATCTTTGAATATTGACGACGACA